ATCAAGAGAGTATTTCGCATATTAAGTATTTTTAAAATTCGGATAAATTCTGTATATGATTTTAGATATACCACTGTATATATTAATATAAGTCTATTTTTTGTTTCTAATTTCAATATATTTCTGGAATGAACTAAATGAAATCATAAAACAGTATGTGAAACATGATATTTGTAAGTCAAACAATTTATTGATAATTTCAAATAGCACAATGTATAAAATGGGAACATAAAACGTCTTTAAGACCATAACATAAATCTTTAAGACATTTTATCCCTCCTTTTGGATATGTATCCAAATTTGTGCTCTCTAGGATATAGGATAGGGATAGAGAAAATGATAAAACAATAAAAAATTGTATTTACTTAATTATTGTAAATGAGTGGTTCAATAAGTTTGGTAAATCTTTATGAGATGATGCCATAATCCATTTTAATGACACTTAGAAAGTAGATCACTCTTCAAACCCTTCTAGAACGAATTTTAGCCAGAATTAACGTGTTATGGGAATTCACGTATGGTCGTTTAAAATGAGTGAGAAATTTAGTAGTTGCCGCGTACAAAAAATTTAAAAAAACCGATTTCCGTGTAAAATTACGGAATTAATGATTTCTCGTTCTATTCTAAATCCAGAGAATAGGAGAATAAGAATTAATTCGATATCCAAAAGTATAAGAGTTTCCATCTATTTTATTCATTTTAATATAATTACTAATTATACAATTCATTCAACTTTCAATATCGTAGTTCATTGTGTCTCAAGTAGTCTATTGTGCCATAATTTTAATGCTATGACAGTCCGCCATATTCTTGATTTTATAGCCAACGCATGCGCAAAACATAACTGAACCCTTCATTTGCTCGTACTGTCACTACTATATGTAGTTATATTGTGAACCTTAAAACGATCTTGAATGTAAGAACTGACTAAATATTGGCTATAATCAGACCTTGTATTTAAAGCTTCTTTAAATTTAAATCTTTAGATGCTCAGTAGCCAATGAAATAATTCGTAGAGCATCTCCTTGTTTCATAAATGAATCTCAAGTTTCCCTTTCCGAAGGAAGAATATTTAAGAAATTTTAGTATCTATTAAAGACAGCATGTAATAATATTGTATATGCAAATTTAATATGCATTTAATTTAATCGTGAATTACAAATAAAGGTGATAAAGGAATCATTGATTAAATAAAGTCCTGATTAAGTATTTTGCAATAATGGACAAAGATAAAACTAATAGCGAATTCGATTGGACATACTCAGTGCATACTGATGCACTTAAAATCGCCGTACATAAAAGAACGTAAATATATGTTTATAAATAAACATAGAAATCGATTAAATCGTGAAATACACAATACATTTTATTATATTATCAGATAAAATCTATATTTCATAATTCGAAATATTTGCATTTTATTTTTATACTCAAATTAAATCAGTGCTTTAACATGTATTCAATCGAATTCACCATAATACTTATAATGCGAAGAAGAAAATGCTTATTTCCGAAAAAAAGCTATCGAAAATAATTATCGATGCGACTAAATTAAAAGCTATTAAATAAAAAGATCGATGTGACGAACTAAATTTGGAGATTTGCTTGGTTATGAAGGCTGCACCTTTTTCTTAAACAAACTCATAACTCTCCCTTGAGAAAAGGAAACTAAGATTCTTTGTTTGATCAAGGAAGGTTTATGAATCGTGAAATGAGAAAAAGAATTTTTCTCAAGGAAGGATTATGAACAGGTATATATGCTCTAAGATGTACTATATACAGGAATTGTAGGCCTATGCTCCTTCCAGTAGTATATGTTATAAGGTAAAATCTCTGCAATTTAGTGTGGACTGCCAGCGGCACAAAAATTCATGACACTTCTGTCGCTGACAACTTCATTTATCCGGTTATGATGGAAATGGAAGTACGGTATTCACAGGCATTTACAATTGCAATATTATCGAAGTAATAACGTAAGTTAAAAATGACTCAGTGAAAAATAAAAAATAAATATCATGGTAAAAAGTTGCTACGTAACTGTACTAACTTGTATCAATAGATAAATAAGTGCAAAGAAAAAAAGAAAAGTTTTTTTCAAAATACCGAAGGTTAGTTTTAAAAGTTTGTAAGATAATTGTTGAGTTTAGCTTCTTCATTTTCAATATTGATAAAATTAGGGTCATTCAATTTTTACATAAAATGAACGATTCTAGCAAAAGAAATGTCGTTCTGCTCCGTGGATAGAGGTATTAATTGTTAAAATTAACAACTAGGAAATGTCACATCGTGGCATAGACTGACATAAAGGGACATGAGAACATATAAATGAGGTTAGAATAAGTATTTTCTGTATCGATTTTTAATAGGATGTGCCTGAAACTGAACAATTACTTTCGATTCTTTCATTTCTACAGTTTAAATATTCGTGCCATGGAATGCAGCCATATAACAGCGCCACTATCGGCGAAAAAATTAGGGACCGTTTTTGGAACGAAATGGCTAGAAGATTTTATTCCTTTCTATTAGGGAGTGTTTATGGTCCACTTGATGCTACAAATACTTTTTGATTAGCCAATCAAAAGTTTCAAAGCATTTGTAGCGTTAAATGGATTGCATCCTATATTGGCCATAATCGTATACTGTACACCATAATCTGTAAAGCCCATTCTACAATGGGTAGTAGCAGTAGTGAATTAAAGAGTAGACGTAAAAATCGACTTATCATAGTTGATTATCCTTCTCACATTCAACTATGATTGATTGATTCCGAATAGCGCTGATTGATTGCTTCTATGATACATTCTCTACCAGGTAAATATGAAATTGGAATTTTTTCATAGAAAATACACGTTTATTACATGAAAATGATAAAAAATATTTTATTCGAAGTATTGCCCATCGGTAACTATACATTTTTTCCACCTGTTTGACAATTTGTGGATGCCACGCCAAAAAAATTGTTGCTCTTTTGAGCCAAACCAGCCATTTTCGTACATCTTCGTAAGAAGTGAAGCGCTGCTGAGTAAGTGCGTGTCCCATCGATGCAAATAAATGGTAATTGGACGGAGCCAAGTCTGGTGAGTAAGCCACATGCGAAAGTATTTCCCAATCAAATGCCTCAATCGTTTCCTTGACCAATTTTGCTGTGTGTGATGGTACATTATCATGAAGCAAAATCACTTTGTATTGCCTTTTTTGATATTCTGGTCGTTTTTCACACAAAGCTTGATTCAAATTGATCATTTGTTGTCGGTAGCGTTCAGTATTAACGGTTTCGCCAGATTTTAGCAGCTCATAATAGATCACACCTTTCTCCCACCAAACACAGAGCATTGTCTTCCGTCCATAGCGATTTGGCCTTGCAATCGATGTCGATAATTCGTGGAGTTACCCATGATTTTTTACGCTTAAGATTCTCAAAATATATCCACTTTTCATCGCTAGTCACAATTCGATGGAGGAATAATTTCTTTTGTACCTGGCGAGCAGCATTTCGCAAGTGGTTTTTCGGTTTTCCTGCTGTCTTTCATTCAGTTGTGGAACCCATTTTCCCATTTTCTTCTGGATCTTTCCCATGGATTTCAAACGTATGGAGATGGCTTATCGTGTCACATTCAATTGATCCGCAAGTTGTTGTTTGAGCGTCATCCTCATCCAACAATGCTTGCAATTCGCTATCTTCAAACTTTTTCGGTTTTCCACATTCTTCGTTTCTCATGTCAAAATCGCCACTTTTGCATTTTTTAAATCCTCATTTTAAACACTCAAAGCACTGTGATTTACCAAGAGCATGCTCACCGTAAGCTTCGACAAGCATTCGATGCGATTCTGCAGCAGTTTTCTTCAAATGGTAACAGAAAATCAATGCTATCCGCAAATCGTAGTTTTCAGGCACAAAATTCAACATGTTCAACGCTATTACAAACTATACTATTGTATGAGCTATTGGCCATCTATTGGTAAATTCCGATTTCATATTTACATACCTGGTAATATCATGGCAGTCATTTTTGGCCCGACCCGATTTGTACCAACTTGAGTTAGAAAATGCTTCGCTATTGATATTATAGCTCTATCAATAGGAGAGCACGAATATCTTATTACTTCAATCCAAGTTAGTGCAAACTCGATAGGGCCGAAAACGCTATAAGAATCGACTAATCACAGTATTCTAATCAAGTATTCCCCTCTTATTCATCAGTAAGAAAGGAATACTCGAAGATGATTGGTCAATTTTTACAGATTACGCATATGATTACGCTCAATATAAACGCTCCCTTCCTCCGTGCCTTAAAATATAAGGGCTAAGGCCGGTTCGTAATTAAATCTTATATTTAAAACTTAAGTACGGTTTTAAGAAGTCATAAATCAGAAAGCTTCATTAGTGTCTAAGACATTGCTTAAGGCAGTCTTGAAATAAGATTTGTCTATGAAAACCGGTCTAGAATACTGGCATTGATGCTTGGCATTCTTAAGAAAGCAATGCATCTTAAGATGCAGCTTAAGAGAGCATTTATATTGACCGTAAAACATGTGGCTGTTCTATAATAGCCAACAGTTGAATGATTGTAATTGCAAGAATTGATTAATCACAATCAAATATTCTCCTCACATCTGACTTGATTGGTTAAGTTTTACAAATACACTTACTTATTGTAGAATAGGCTTTATTATATTTCATGCTCTTATGTGTCTTCAACGCGCATGCGCTAGAAAAAGCTAGGTCTTGCTAGCAATACTGTAGCCAGTAGGTGCATTCAGAACGAGAGCCGTTCACTTAGCGCTCAGTGAGCTCTTTTATCTGATTGGTCTATATTTTAGGATTTAATGGAATATGCCAATCAGATAAAAGAGCTCATTGAGCGCTCAGTGAGCGGTTGTCGTTCTAAATGCATCCAGTGTTACTGTTAAGGCATTTCAAGGCGTATAGTGCATACTCTATGGCGACGGAATAAGAACGTACAAACCGAGGAACGAAGCGCGAATGAATAGCCGAGTAACGTTCGTGAACCATCGTAGCCGGTATCGATTTGTCTGATTCTCGCCTGCTGATTCTCATCTGGCTGCTAGGCGCTCTCGATTTGAGCGCCTGTACCGACGCGGCTACCACGCGCGGTACCGTTATGACGGATTCGCGCGTCGCTGCATATTGTACGCGGTTCGGCGATTTGTGTGGCAGTTTCTCACATGCAACGATTTTTCCGAGTAATGGCGCGTAGGGTTGCTAACGAGTAAGTCCAGCTGATCACTGAACGGTGGACAACATGGTAGTTCGCAGTGACCGCGCACAGGGAGACGATACGTTTCTGCATACGTGAGCCGTGACCGGCTGGAGGCGGACGAGCGGGTGGGCAGGCAGGACGGTGGGACGGGGAGGTTTAGGCTACGATGAGTACTGACAGTCATGATGAGACGAAATCCTGCAAAACATCCGCGAGGAGCGAAGAAGAGAACGCGTTTGATGTTAAACGAATTAAAAAGGAGCGCAATGACATTTGTGTGGAAAATGGTGACACTGCTAGCATTACCGCCACCACCTCTACCTCCTCAGTCACCGTTGCTACTGCTGCCACCACCGTCCTCGAGAAACGACAGCCACCGGCCGGCAGATTCGCCTCGAATGGTTTTCACGGAGATGGCGATCAGCTGCAGGACTTGGTTGCAACCAAATTCGCTACTTTGGCCAACCATGGTGCTTCTTCCAAGCAAGACAAGATTCGGATTATGATAGAGGATGGCATTAGGTTAAGTCGATTTTAAGTTTTATGGAAACCTGACACTGATATTTTTTTAGACTACAATTTGTGAAAATTACAATTTATGATGAGATTGATATATAGCTTGGGATTTGTCTTTACAGTAGACTAATCCCAATAAGCAAAATTAATATATTATAAGTAATCTAATCTGATCTAATGGAAGGTATATATCATTTGTCCACATTGCTAATTTGCTAATTTAAAATAATATAATCTCATTGCAAGTAAATCTCAAAGCAGTAAAAAAATACTAGGATCTAGCCTATGTAAGTAGTGTGTGCAATTGAACTGTGTACAAGATGCACCATTCTTCTCTAAAGGATAGCTTCAGACCAAGATAAAAAAGCAAAAGAGTGGCAGCCGATCAGAACTTGCGCTAATAGTCACTGGTTTCAATTTTCTGTGCTGCTTATTACCAGTACAAGATAACTCGCTGTTTTTCTGTTTAGATCTGAACCTACCTTAAGGGTTATGATACACAAAAAATTTAAGCAGTAAAATGCAAGCAATAAGCAAATTGGTTAATTACATTAAAGACTGTAAAATCATGTAATTTATGTAATAGCCAATCCAACATATTGATTTCCTTACTGTTGATATTTTGCTACTTAAGTTTTTCACATATTATGGCCCTAATATTTTCTACAATAGCCATATAATTGTAAGTTGAAGTTATAAAGGTCAATGGCACAAAAAACTTCAGCAATAAGACATAAGCAGTAAGGAAATTATAAATAATAATATAATGTAATATAATATTGTTTATATTATGGCCTTACAGTCTTTACTGTGAGTCCAATTTGCTTACTGCTTATGTTTTACTTAAATTTTTGTATGCCTTGATTTTAAGAATTGACCAATGAAATACAATATAAAGAGATTATTCGACTGTAATTGGTCAATTTTTATAATTAAACTACTTATGCTTACGACTATTGTAGGACAGGTATAACATTTTGCCAGAAGAACATTGCTGCAAATTGCTGTTTGCTAGTCTATTAAGCTGATGTTTTGTCTGCTAATTATTATAATATTATAATATAAATATAACGATAGATTATCAGGAAATTAGACAATCATAACTAATTAGAATAAGAGATATCGCTTAATATAAATAGCTTAATATAAATAGAACAAAATGATACATTCTATTCGAATTTGGCTGATAGTATGCTACTAAATTCTGCTATTAAAGTCTATTATATTCTTTACATTCTGTTAACAAAATTAGTAGCATATTCTATGTAAGATCTGTTTTTAATAGATTTAGTTATCTAAATATTTTATTCAAAATTTCTTATATATGTAACAAAAAGTTGTTACAAAATAATAAATAATAAACAACAGAAAATCTCAATCTTGTTGAATAATGGGTTTCTATCCTCTACATTCAGATAATTTACTCTTAAAAATTGGCGAATTTAATGCAGAATCTGGAAATCTTGTGTTACAAAACGATCATTTATATCTATTGCAATAACTATATTATGTCTGCTAATTACAAATTGAATCGTCAACAAGAGTTGCAATGGAATATTTAAATTCACAACATTCATAATTGTAAACCGATTAACGAGCATCTTTGTGAAATTAAATCTTGTAAATGTATCTAATGTTCTTGAATTTCAATGTGTAGTATTATAGTGCTGTCCCATGAGAGTCGGAAAACGAAATCTCAGAAAAGTAATAGAGTGAGGACCAATCAGAATTATTGAGATGCATTACTGTTGGTCTGCACATATATGTTAAATACAAGATTATCGAAATTAAATTTCTATATGTATAAAAAGAAATTCATTAATAAATAATTGTTCGATAAGTATTCATTTTTCCAGCATATAAATATAACCATTTATATCGTTGGGGATAAAATTGCATGCTTGTTGATCCGAAATTTTTGTGACTGAGTTTCCCTAGAAATCCTCTCAAGAGAGAGTCTGCCAAAGCTATGTTCAAGTTTCATTGGTGCAGCCATTATATGGCAAAATTTTCATGTCATCTTTGTTTAACGTTCGGATAATAAAGAAGGATAATCTAGGTATAATTCGTGTAGGAATTTGAACAAAGCCCTAAAAACGCTATATTTTAAAATTTGCTATAAAAATCACCAGTTTGTCACATCATTGACGAATATTTGCCAGACTTTCTGTTGAGGATCTTTAGGACTTCTGTGAAGTTGGCACCTTATTTTTCAAAAAATGAAATTTTGGTTACAGTTTCGAATGCACCCCGAAAAGTTCTGGAGTTTCTGCTCAAAATTAAGAATAGTTCCAACAAATTAATATAAAAAAAAAAATTTTTAATTTGGGGTGCTATCTTCACAAAACGCAGAATGAAAAATCGCGATATTTTCTAAATCATTAATCCTAGCACTTTAAATGTAATATATACTATAACTTATATAACTTTTGATAGAACTCGTGGGGTGCTATCTAGAACTGTCAAGAATTGCTATAATGTTAAAAAATTTTTAATATAATAATATAATAATAT